CGGGTGGATCGTAATGAATAACCGCGTTTTGCATTTCATTTTTTCATCATTTAATACGGGTCGTTAAAAAAAAATAAAATATACCAAAAGATGCAGCATGAAAAGTTCTACAATTTACATAAGTCCGATTATTTTATAGTAGCGCTTTTTGTTTTCAAAATAGACTAAATTTTGACCGTACGAAAATTGGTCGCACAGAATTTTTCTGTTTTTGAAAACAAAAAGTATAGAATTAAAATGAGCTTTACTTTGTAGATTGTAGAGTTTTTCACGTTGCATCTTTTGGTGTATTGCGTTTTCTTTATAAAACATGTTAAATGATCAAAAAATACGATGCAAAACGCGGCCATTCATTATAGCCAACCCGATATATTTGAATAATTTTCCTGATAACGAAAATATTATTTTCCATACAAGATTTATATTCTACTCCGAATGAAATATCAATCAGTAATCAACAAATCTTAACGTCTAAGAAATTCTTCATAACTTTAGCTTTTTCACTAGGACAGAATGATGTAGCTTTCAAAAAAGTATTTTGTCATCGTATAATCTTCGAACTAGAATATACGTTTGTTGTCTTAAAAATTCGGTGCTATGACTTTTCGCTGCAAGACAAAATGTTGCAAGATTGTATTGTACAACATATTTGCATATCACAAGTTAATTTTATAGGAAATAACGACGGATTCGATCCTTGTAATTTCGGTGCGGGTAATTTATAAGAGTCTTTAGTATGAAAATATCTCGGTTTCTCTCAACGAAATCTATCAATTTAGAATTCAAGTGTTTCCTTTAAATTACAATATTTCCTCACTAATTTTCTTTATTATTCCTCATTACTTTCTACGAAAAAGACCAATTGGAGATCCACAAATATATTGAAGAATAAAGTCTTGCAACATTTTATCCGTGATGAAAAGTTCGGTCATCGAACATCAACATTTGTAGCTGGTATGAAATAATATACCATCTATCTGTATGTTTATGTACTTATGGATCGGCAACATCTTGAGCAATAAATATTATAAAAATAGCTTTTTGAAAATTCGGTTGAATGAATACCAATTTAAAGAAATTCTGCTTGATAAATTGTTAATAATGTTTCATTTCGCATCGCAGATATGCGATCATTTTTATGAGACAACAAAAATCTTACGATTTTATTTGATCATGCACCAACTGACTGTAGATTTCTTTTCCTATTTTGTTATTTGAATGTATATTCGAAAAATGAGATTCGATTTATTTTTTGTTAGTAAGTGCTTCAAGATAGGATTGATGAAAAAACCTGTACAGCTCTATAGAATAACTCTCAATAATATTGAAGTATAAATTCTGAGAAAAAGATATTTTATAAATACCTCACAATTGACCTTGTTATGCAAATATTTTCAATATGTCTGTCATCTTGTTTACTTAGATGTATGTAAATTATTCGGTTCTTCTATGAAATAGATCTTTTATGTTTATGTATACGTTGAGATTGTCATTGAAATTATGGATATCAAGTAACGTTGATATCACAAGTGATTTTATCTATTAATATTACTCACCATCAGTTAAGTTTTTTAGAAACAATGTTTTTCTTCTTTTCTACATCAAGCATATGACGACTAGAGATGTAAGCCAATGCACTGATCGACGGCGGTGACTAGATTTGTCCTAACGTTTTTCCTCTGTCGACGACAACGACTGAAGTTTTTCGATGATTTTTTTGTAAAAATTTTCTTCCTTTTTAAGAGATTTTGAAATGAAAAAGAGAGGAAAAGATAATAGAGAATTTATTGACAAGAAACTAGCTGGTAACATCTCCAAAAATTGATTTGGGATGTCGGAAATTTAAAAAAATCAAATATCTATTTTTCTGTTACGGCAGAGGCTCAGCCGATCGGCTTACACATCTAGTGACGATCAATGAAAATAATATAGAAAAATTTAGATAAAAATTATAATTTCTTGTATATTTCTATGATTTAAAAAATATTTAAAGTTATCATTGCATCTATCAATATTTGAATTTTAAATGATTCATTTCCCTATGATAAGGTTCTTTTATTGTCTTGTCTTTCAGAAAAACAAAAGATGGGAAACAGAATTCGATCTTAATCGAGAAAAATCATCACAAAATCAATGAATATCAAGAAAGAAATGAAAAGTTTAAAAAAGAAAGCAAACAAAATGATCAAAACTTATTTTGTACCATATTGTTCTTGAATATATCGCCAATATTTTTTTCTAATTGAATCAATTTGTAATGCTAATTTTTCACATAGATCAGTAATCATTCTTTTATTCTCTTCACGTTTTTCATCTCGATCATCATCAATTAATAATTCAATCATATAACCAAGTAAAAATCTCCATTGTCGATTATTAAAATCATCTTTTTGAAAATGATTTTCATATAAATTTTGACAAAAATTCCATATACGTTGATCATTTAAATTTATTGAACGAAATCGTGCAATACCACGTAAATAATTCCATGAACTTTCATTATCTGGACATGATTGAATATGTTTTTCAACATAATCTAATTCACGTTCAATTATATCATCTTTAAAACCTGTTGTATGAGCTATAACAAAATAACGTTGATTCCATGCTGAATTATTTCGTATATCTTCTTGCAATAATTGATCAATATAATTTAATTCATTTGACCAAAGTGAATAAGTTTTAAGTAACCATTGACGATATTGCCATGCATGATAATTTTTTGAATCATTTTGAAGAATACTTGCAATAAATGATAATTCATTAGAAGTATGACCTGAACGTTCAACAATTAAACGACGATGTTCCCAAACCTTAACAAAAAACAAATTTGTTAGGTACAATACCTACGGGATCAAAAATATGAAACACGATTTAACTGCTGTTGCTAATCAGACGAAGATTGTTTTATTCTATCTATTTTAGGATACATTTCTTCACTAATATTTTACTCAATCCTCTAGAAATGCAATAGGGAAGTAGTTCATATATTATAATAAGACGCCATTGACATCAGGTCTCTGATCGTATATCAACAACGTCTATCATGATCTATGACTAGACATGAGTAAATGATACTGGGATCAAGACCAAAACTTTTTCATTCGAAGTGATATTTTTTATAATCGTGTAAGATGTGCTTCAAATGTTATATTCTGACGACTCATATGTTCTAAAGATTTATGTGAAAATCATTAAATAACGATCACTTCAATATTTGCTGTTACAATTTTGATAGTAAAATTAATCCTTTTTTTTTAAAGAGGAAGAAAGACATTAGAAGTCATGCAAGATGTCTCGAACGCATTGACACTGCTAGAAAATGATATCGCATTTTCCACTATTACATGTATTACTAAGCACAAAACCAGAACCAAACTTTTTTTTTTTCGCTAAGATCAAAAACGATTGGTCCCGTTCATCACCATCTATGACGTTTTCATGGTAATGTTTGTCATGGTCTGGAAGATGCAAATTCCTACCTGATGTACTTCAACACATACTAAAGAAACAAGAATTTCTGAAAGTACGTTTAAATGTCTTAATTGCAGTTCCCCTTTGGACATTCTCACGTCCATTTAGACCATCTTAAAATCAGTTACTTTCATTATAAAAAGTGTGTGAAGATACTTAAGAAAGCAACTTTTGCTTAGGAAAAATGCCCAAAAATTTTCTTCCAGAATATTTTGACCTGTTTTGTGAATAACAAAAATAACTTCTTTTATGTGCAGTCTATGTCAAAAATATTTTAAGAAAACCTTTTGGATGTTTTCTTGAGACAAAAGTTACCTTTTGAAGCATCTTCAGGCACCTTCTAACTTTCCTCCAGAATAAAAAGCCATGACATTCTATTGTGGGAATTTGCATTGTTCCTCCAAACAGAACCTTCTCATTTCAGGCTAGATTTTTGATAACACTTACCCTAGAAAATCAAAGATTTTTGAAAAACTCTTCTGATCTTCAAACAGGTACTTTCAGCAAATAAGCGTTAGAAAACCAATATTTTTGCTAATAAAAGCACTTTTTTACTAGCAAAAATATGAAGTTTTATGTAGAGGAAAAACTCATGACCTTCATTTATGTATTATGAAATTTTTCTTATGCATGACCTTGTAAGTATGATAGCCTTTTATTTTGAAGGATTATGATTCAAGTAGTTGATTTTAATGTTGTCTGAATGGATGTGAAAAATGCTCAAATGAGAACTATGATTAGACTATTTAAACACATTTTCAGAAATTTCTTGTCTACTTAGATCCTTTTAGATCGTGTTTCATAAAATCAAATAAATATTTATAAAAAAGAAAAAATCTAAAATATACTTGATAATTTTTGGGATTTTCTTTAATCATTTGTCCAATAAATGCTAATTCTTCATTTAAATCAGATTTAAGATGATATAAAATTTTACGTCTATAATACCAAACTGTATAATTAGCCGGATTAAGTTGACATGCCGTTTTTGTTAAATCAAGTGTTCGTTCACTCATTTCATTTGTTTTCATACATGCACGTATATAATCAAATGTTTCACGAAAACGATCTGAATAAGCTATTCGAACAACAGGATTGAGTCCATCATCTTGTTCAATTGGTACAACATCAGACCATTCAGGTCGATGAGAAAATTCAAGTTGATTACTTAATGAATCGGATTCATTATCAGAATCTGAATTAGACATTTTTCTATTAGAACTTTGTTCCTTTTTTTTTTTTGTTTTTATTAAAAATCTAAAATGAAGATAATATTTATTATTTTTATTTTCTATAGTTAAATTGGAATCATAATAAGCAATAAAGATCACTGTTTATGAGAAGTAGCAGAGTAACAAGTGCTGCAATGGACTAAAAAGTATATATATATACAATTCAGTATGAGAAAAAAAATTAATTGAAGAAAGAAAAAAAAAGCCAGATCGAATATACGCAGTACTATATGTTGGAAAGATCAAATTTGTTAGTTGAAAAACCATAAATGCAAAATAGATTTGGTTTTATATTTATACACGAGTCACTAATGTTTGTGGATACCATGAATTAGCATGACCAACCTAAAATAATTAAGTTATCATAATTCTATTTGATTATATATATATATATTTAAAAATTTATACATGTTGAAATGTATCTAATAATATCTGTCGTCTTGATTGTATACATATATTTTCTATATTTTGTTTAAGACAATTTATGTCTGATGATAATTGTCGTTCTAATAATGTCGGTATATAATTTTGATCATAACGACAATAACATTTTGACCATAAAACTAAATTAAATGTACGCCAATCAACATGAAGATCATCTGGAAATATTTGAGGTGATTCAATATTATCATATTCATATTGTTCAGGATTTAATGTTCCTGGTGCATTTGTTATTGGAATATCAAGTATAGATATTCTTGATTTTGGTGTTTCTAAATAATAAACAGTTCGATTTGGATATTGAGGAGATGATGATGATGATGATGTTGGATAAATAACTGTTGCTTCAATTCGAGATTTTAGTTTTTCATTAGAAGAAGATGATGATGATGATGTTTGTAAATTAAATATTGATGCATCATTTTTTAATAAACGACATATTTCTGGATCAAGATATTTTGAAAAATCAAATGATGATAAAACAAACATATTTTTTGGATAATTATGTATTATTTGAAGACGTTCAAGAACGTCATTAAAAACAAATGTATGATGATAACAATAACAAACATTACGATAAAATTCAAGTAAAAGATAATCAGTAAATTCAAATGAAAATGGATTTTGAACAATTAATTGATGAACACAATCAAGAAAAAGAAGAAAAACTGGTGACTAAAAACAAAAAAACAAAGTTTATTATTATTTTTTTTCAAATATAGAATATAGTTTAGTTAAAAATAATAAAACTTTACTTCTTGTACAGGATTTCCATTTCCATCAAAAAGTATTTGTCCACAACGTTCAAGAAATTTATGACCACGAATAAGCCATTCACGAACAATTAATTCACAAAAACCTTTTATTGTACGACATTTTGGTCGAAGTAAAATTTGTACTAATGATGACATTAAACAACTATTATCTGTATCACTTCCTAGATTTTTAAATAGAAAATTATATTGTATTTATATCAATCACTGTTATGTTCTTAACAAATTAAATTGTATAAACAAAAAAAAAACTATCGATTTATATATTAATTAAAAGTTGTTTGCACAATCTCTGCAGAACTGCATATATTCTTAATCAAGTAATTCTGCAACAGAGCAAAGTCAGGTATCTTAAATTCAATTTTCTTTCGTAATAATCTCATTGAAAGCTTTAGTTTCTTAACTAACGAGGGAACATATTTAAGCACCCCCCTCCGCTCAGAAACGAGCTGAGACCTAGCCGATATTATAGAGAATTTTTCGCTTATCACAAATATTCACATCGTAGCTACCACCGAGTGAATCTTTAAAAAATTCGAGAGACATATAATGTAATTCTCCTGTGAGGCAGCTATTTTCATGAAAAATCAACTATCTCAGAATTAACTAGAAAATATCACATTGTGTAGAGAATTCTTTTCCTGAATATTTTTGTAAAAATAATTTTTCGATCAACGAGAAAATCTTTTCAGATGTTCTCTTCCGATCTCAATCTTTTTTTTTCTATATAGTGTGCTAGTAAAAGCTCTAAAATAATTTGAATTCTCGTTGAGATTTGACTAAGCTATCAAGTTTTTAATATCTATTTACCTGGAAGCCATAGACTTTCGTCGAAAACTCGAATTTTGATCTGAGACTTTATGCATATAGAGAGTTTAACTAGACTAGCTTTCATAAAAAAATTCAAAATTTCTGAATAAAGTCTCTTCAAGATATGAGATTTTCAAGATATAGACTCTTTTCCATGGATAGAATATTCAACATACATTTTCTGAACGCTTCATATTTTGAAGAGACTCTATTCAAAACTTCGGAATTTTTTAAATGAAAGTTAGTCTAGTTGAATTCTCTATATGCGTAAACTTTCCGATCAAAATTCGAACATGCGAGTTTTTCGAAAACCTAGGGCTGCTAGAAAATATACATATTAAAAATTCGATAGGAACCCATATCCTTTTTTTTTTACGAAAATGATCAGAAAACAATCTCTACAGGATAGGCTAGATCTCAGCCCGTTTCTAGGAAGAACACTTAAATTTGTTCTCTTGTGAGCCTGTCACAATCTTTCAGGAATTCAAGTTTCTATCCTTATACTTCAACACTCCTTTCATATCGTGCTTCACAAAATTTAGTTTCATACTTCGTAGACTACGATATAGTTTTTCATCAATGTTTAACGTTTTATGTCTTATAGAATATGTACTTAAACTCGGATGTTCTATTCTCATAGCTAAGTAAAAGATGTTCTAATTGATCGGATATGAATTTGTTTTTTTTTTCTTACCAACTAATTCGATATTTGTAAAATCAAGTAATTTAGCTAAAGATGCAGCACCATGTAAAGCTTTTGAAACAAATTTAAGCCATTTACATGTATTTAATTTTGTCAACCATTTATCATCATCATCATCTATAACGGGAAACAAAAATCAAAGACAAAAACAAAAACAAATTCTTTTAAATACCAGGTGCTATTACACATATTTCAATTAATTTTTCATAACTTGCTTGTAAACGTTTTAAATTACATGGAAATTTTGATAGATTATAACGTTGAAATGGTTGTTCATATAGATAATCAGATGTAGGAACTAAATTTGTATCTGTTGTAACACGACGTAAACTAAAAGAAATATTTTCTATTATTCAAAATAAAGTAAAATTTGTTGTAATTGTTTTTTTTTTTTTTTTTAGCATATTAAACAACATTCCAACACCAATAACAATGACAATAACTACACATGCAACATATAGAAAATAGCAACGGTTACCGAGCATATGCGTATGTCTCACCCATCATCGGGCGGCATTTGCGACAAGTCACTTAAGTCACTAGTTGTTGTTTTATTTTCATTTGTATTTACTAATTTTGGAGTATCAAGAGTATTTCGACGTAAAGGTTTCAATATATTTTTTTTTATTTTAAAAAAACGAAATGGTGATGATGATATATTAGATGGTAAACTCGTTGGTGTTTCCCTACTTGTCAAGAGTAAAAATGAAGAAATTCAAAAAAATTGAAAAACAAAAAAATCTTAATTATCTTTGAAAATTTCACTAAAATTTTTCTACTATTATTTGGTTTTTTTTTTTTTATAATATCAACTTACGGTTCTACACTACTCGTGGTTTCTCCAATTCCTGGAACAGTAATAAGCATATATTTTTGTGTTTGTACTTGTCTTCTATTGTTACTATTATTTTCAATTTGAGATGTATGTGTCCAATGCCAAATCTTCGGAATACAAAAAAAAAATTTCAGATACATCCTTAAGCAAAAGTCTTCTTCTCCTCTTTTTTTTTATGTAAATTTTTAATATTTGCTTTCTTTTTATTATTGAACTAAATTATAATAAATATATTTTATTTTATTATGATGTATAGTCACCATTTGTTTCAATCAAGCATTTTACTTGTTTTTTCATGCCTTTCTAATGTCTTGTTCCAATTTTTTTTTTGATTTATTGCATCCTTCATCATCAACCAAAATGTTTTCAATTGGATTTTGATGTGGTAATGAAGAGAGTCAAGGTAGAACCTGAATTCGGTTGTCAATTGCTAGACGAAATCAATGTTTAGTATCATTATCCTCTTGGAAGATTCAGATGTATGTATGTTCAGGAAATCGACAATGAGCAGTAGGCAGAAAATCGTTTTCATATATACTGCACATAAAAATTCCAGTCAAAATGTGTTTAAAAGCAATTGATTATCCGAAACTTTATTTTAGAACACATCTCCAGACGTGTAATTTGAGAGAATATTTGACTACATGAATAATTTTAGGGACATCTAACAATTTCCAAAACTTTTCGTCCCAGACGAATCGTTATTCACGATGTTTATTTGTAGATAAGGATTCTTTAAAGATGGACGATAACTTCCACCGGTTTCATGTAATTGACGTCTAACAGCACTTGAATCTATATTTACGCCGTTCTTTTTTTTTTAGAATTTTTGCAATATAATTTTTATATAACATTTAGTTCACATTTGGCAATATTAAAAATCTGTGTATCTATTTTCTTTGAGGTGACACGTAGTCGGTCAGTTCTTGGTAAATTAGACAGGTATTCATTGTCTTGCCAGCTGACAAGCCAACGCCGTACGACTTTATGTTCACACCCAATGTACTTCGAAATAGTTTTATTTGATATTTTAGGACTCAGTGGATGTAACTTGAGAAACACAACTTCATTGCATTGTGATAGAAAAAGTAGCATGTTTAAAATCTTACAAAAAAAAAACCCATTCTCGACATCGATCCACATAAGACTAGATTATCCGAATCAACAAATAAGAATATTAGAAGCAAGAACGACTATCCTCTAGAGCTGTATTTATGATAAAAAGAAAGCAAATATTAAAACTTTAGAAAAACAAAAAAGAGAAGAAGAGACTTTTATTCAGGAATGTAAAATAAATAAAAAGTTTTTTTTTTTCTTACCAAATCACCAGAACCATCATTGTCTTTACTATATATTAAACGAACATAAGGACCTTCACTAGAAGAAAAAAACAACAAATCAAAATAGATTTTTTATTGAGAAATTTTTCAACCTTTTTATAGTAGATTCTTCATCAAATTTCTTTTGATCAACAATCCATTGTTGTTCATTTGCTTCATATAATTCATCTCTCCAATCATCAAAAGTCATATAACTTTTTATATATTCATCATTATTCAAATCATAATCTAAATTAAATTAATAAGAATAAATATATAAAATATATAATTAAAAGAAAATTAATTAACCTGTTGTATCATGATCTAGTAATGGTGAACTTCCCATTGATGATAATATATAACCACGATTATATTTTGGAGAAAATCTTTTTGTAGAACTTTGTTGTAATGCAGTATATAGATATAATTGTTCTCTACTTTGAAAACGACTATGAAATTTTAATGCATCAATATACTAAACAATGAAAATGATTTATAAAATTATAAGAATTTAAATAGAACATACTTTTTCCATTTTTGTTACTGATATTTCTGGTTGTTTAATTGTAGCTGTATTTGATTTTGTAACTGAACATTTGGTAAATGTTATATTTCGAAAATCCTATTAATTAAAAAATTTAAATAAATAAATAATGAGTAATGTAAAAGTTCTGCATGAATTTTATTTCTTTCTTTGTGATATTTTGTTGCAATGCAATATATGTAGAATTTATTTGACTTTCTTCATTATTGACTTGTAATATTTTCTAGCATCACATATTTCTATATATGATAGCGTTCAAGCTTTCGAAGGAATCTTTTCAATTGATCAGTCGCTTTTTTAACGAAATCTACTGAATGATAGATTGTCGATCATGGTGATTCTGAATATGATCATAAGAAATTCCCTTAGATCTTCATAGAAATGTTTGTTCGTCTAGAAAATTAGTTTTCAATAAAGACTTAAGAGGACTTCTCATAGTCATATTCGGAATCAGTATGATCGATAAACTATTATTCAGTAGTTTTCGTTAAGAAAGTGACTAATCAGTAGAAAATGTTCCCTTATTCGATTCATCTAGGCTTATATGGGATCTGACATTGGACGCTAATATATATATATAACTGTTCATTACAACAGCAGCTTTTTTGTAGTAGAAAAATAATTTATATAGGGTAGAAGAGACTGAACAACACAAAATCAATTTGATACAAAAATAAAGTTTTGTCTAAATATCTTCTACTAAAGCTATGTCCAATTTAAAACAATGTTGTTTAGTAGAGGACTGGATAAGGCTGTTTTTTTCATATATAACATATGTGAATTTTTTTTTGTGACTTTCAGAAATATAATATTTCATTGCAACACTATGTCAACAGCAAAATTAATGCAGAACTTTTGTCACCCATCAATTTATTACTATACCCGTGTAATAATTGTAAATGTTCGTGTTTCTGATTGTAGTTGATTTTCATTTAAAAATGATTTAAATCCTATTCGAGAATTGACCGCTTCAAAGATAAAAAAGATACAAGAAGTAAAAATTTGAAAATATTTTATAAAAATAATTAGACTAATCGAAATAGAAAAATCTATCATGATGTTCTATAAAACAAAATAACTATAATAAATACATACGTGCAACATTTATTTTATAAATTGAAGCTAATGGAATGTCATAATCACCAATATATTTATTTCCAGAGGATATCTAAGAAAAAATAATCGCATTTTTATGATATTTGATATTTCGATCAAAAGCAAGAATGTAGTGGCATAACCAGGAGATTGTAGGATCGTAGAGCAATGTCTCACGAGCTTAAGGATAATTCATGCAATATAGTATCAATGATGATAATTATTACATTTTTTTTGTCTTCCGACGATAGGATGACGCCCGGCTTAGGTCACCGCTGGTTACGTCACTACAAGAAATATTACATACTGAATTATTTTCGTCAGTTTCGTCATCTGGCGCAAATACAAGTCGAAAATTTGACATATATAAAGTTCCAATTAAACGTTTACATGCACCTTCTGTATATTCAACATTATATACATACATATTTAATGGAAGTTCTTCTAAACAAAAAGAAATTTTTTTCTCTTTTTTTTTTCGAGAATTATAAAATCATGTTAATACAAACCTGGTAATATTTTTCGAACGATTTTTATGAACTAAAATAAATAAACATATTTGTAATTAGATTCAATTATTTTTTTGTTAGATCTTGTACATACTTCTGGTAAAATACTTTGTAAAACATCGTTTTTTGTTACTAAATCAATATTAGGATCATTAGCAGACATTTGAGATTTTTGTTGTTGATTAACACTTGATGATAGATTGTCCAAACTATTTCAGCGAAATGACATTTTCTAATTAGTAATTTTCATATTGTTTGATATTAAGTAAAACAAAACAAAACAAAACTAGACTTGAAGGACTATTATTTGATGAATCATTTCGAATGATATAAATAGTTGATTTTATTAACCAATAGAATTCAAAAGAGAAATTTTTACAGTATTATAATAGTATATGTGCCAATAGTTACATTATTTTAAAAGGAAGTTAATATTGACAAAGATAAATAGCACAGTTGTCACGTATCTCGTCTCAATTGAAGAAAATAATAATTTGAATTTATATTAAATATCTAACGATCGATTATAATTATTGGATATCTAATTAGACTAATTGATAATGGTATTCTATAGGGTGTCCGGAAAGTCCTTAGAGTTACAAAAATTTGGATATCTCCATTGTGGTTGGACTGAACGAGCTCATTTTTCTAACAAAGATTGAGGCATGTTCGCACTCCAAATTCATATGGACAACGGTATTGAGAATCTTTGTTAAGTATCACTATTGATCTCAACAAGAAAGTTTTACTGTTTCACAGTTAGGAAAACAAACATTACACAGGATAGGGCAAAAGACACTTTATTGAAAAGACAATTGACTCTCTTCATTATAGCTTGAGCGAACCAACTGATATCTTTACCCAGGATAGAGGCATATCCACACTCCAAATCCATACTGACAAAGTTAGTGAGAACCTTTGTTAAGTATATGGTTTTTCTTCCTCTCTGTGGAACAGTAAAATTTTCTTGTTAAGGTCAATAGTGATACTTAACAAAGATTCTCAATACTCTTGTCCATATGGATTTGGAGTATGAACGTGCCTCAATCTTTGTTAAAAAAATGAGCTCGTTTGGTTGAGCCGTAAAGGAGATATGAAAATTTTCCTAACTCTAAGGACTTTCCGGACATCCTATAGTGAATGTATTAGGTTCAAGTTACCCGAAAGGATATCCTGCTACCAGTATGTAACAGAAATTCTTGGGTTTTTTAGCACTTTACTTCAAAACGTTTCTAAGTATTCGATAGACTAACGTCCTGGAAAATTTTTTCCACTGATGCTATAGAACCTGGACGAGTACCTTAGTCTGTACCCATGTACTGAGATAATTCGTAGTAGGGCACTCAGTCAAGATTCTGTTATATATTGGAAGCAGAGTGCTTTTTCGGTATCCTGCTGAAAATTGTCCTGGTACACGGGTATCTTGAACTCAATACATTTATTAGAGATAACTATTTTGTATTAATATTACTTGAGAACATCAACTTGTTCGTTTATACAAAACTGTATGATTATCTTCATTTATAAAAAAAAGTCGAAATCAACGCATCAGCTAACTAAAAGAAAAAAAAACTCATGATCAGTATTCTGAAGAGATGTACTATTCATTACTCTTTCTCTTGTAATAGTTCGCTCTCAAAAAATACCATGAACCAATCTTGTTATCATTTCATATTGAGAATATTTGTAAAGTGATCGTTGACACATGCATTGGTTATGCTCTATATGATACTTTTAACAAAATGGATTTACATTTTGAAATATCGTTACATTTCCAAAAACTATTTGAAAACAATAAAATAAAAACTACAGTGAGAGGATCATAACGCATTCTTGAGTACTACTCTACCATTGAATCAATCGACAAATTAGAGATGCACTAGTACCAATATTATACTGGTTTACTGAGCTCGAATAACATTCGGAACAACCAGTAGTACTTTTTATTGACGGGATCTAATGTAATCCAATTATTATAATTAATGGTCGTTTCTGATGCTTTACTGGTATTGCTGCATCCCTACAAAATGTATTGTGATGTATTTGTGAAGATATTATTCAATAGTAACTGAAGTCATGACTATTGAAAATTATTCCATTGGTATCGTTTATAATGTAATTAATAAAAGTTTAATTGTAACTTTTGTTCATAATGAAATGTTTATGTGAATGATAAATTTCTGATTTTCAAGAGATTTACAACATTTATAAATTTGTAAGAATTATTTTAGACTCAAGCTTCGTTCTCCTTGCTTCTTATCAAAAACAACGAAATTTTTTTTTTGAACTTTCACAGCAAATTAAATGAATGTTCTTTATTAGAAGTATTATTTGGTATGTTTTGATGATGGAAGAAATAAGAGCATTCAATTGAAACAATCACTGACAAAATGATCTATAGAAATCAATGAAGAAAATGTCCCACGTTAGTTTCTGAGCTTTCGACTTCATCTTTTGACTATAAATAGATCGAACAAATATTAGGGTTTTTGAAATATACAACAATTTTTAATCTATAATTCAATGGAATGATTAAATTTCAAAGGTGTAACAGTGAACAATGTATAGTCTTTTGATCTCGAACTTAGGTTGGACTTTCGATTTTTTTTCTTCAGTTTTGATATTTTTTGCGCTTTTGTATTTTTTTATGTAATAAAAGATACCTATTATATATTATGGCTATAGTCATATAGAGGCCAAGATCCATTGCACTTAACTCTATTTTAAAAAGCAACAGTTATTAATAAATAGAAAAGCTGACTCATTTTATGCAATCTCGACACTTGTCTTATCTTGATCTTTTTATCGCATTATTGCGTATTTCTTATATGTTTCTGGTTTGTATATTCACTAGCGATGGTGTTAAGATGACCAGAAACAGCAGCATATTTACTCAAAGATGTTGAGACACCATACTAACGATTAAATCTTTGTCACAAGAATCTATACATCATATTAGAAATGCAAAGAATTACGGAGAAGTCGATAAAAAAAAATGAAGATGTTGATATTAATATAGAAGCAGACCGTAACATTGAACAAGTTTCATTAAAAACAAATATCGGGAATATCATTTCTGGACGTAGTTATTAGAGTACTTGATAGATATTAACAATATTAATTCTGTGTATGAATCCTTTGTCATGTATATGAAATATATACATGTAAAAAACTTATATTCACATTATTTTTTACACACATATTTTCTTTCAACTTTTGTATAAATCCAGTTCGATGATCTATTTTTAATATTGTATCATTATGGAATCTGTAGTGTCTTCTAGCAAATATATCAGAAAGATGGTCAAATAATAAAAATTTGTTTCAGAAAAAATGATTATACAAACCATTTCTCGATCTAAATTGGAGACTAAAGGACTTTAATCCCTAGCAATCTTTTTAATGTATCAAAAAATCCCGAACTCAACTTAATAGTCAATATAAAAATCATGTAAAACTTTACACCTTCCGACAATACAGACATCAAAACAAACCAAACTCTGATAACATTGACAATTTTCAGGATGATTTTCTCTATATCTATTTGTATATTATTTGTATAGAATGAGATTTGGCAAAGAGAAATGAAGTCATATGAAAATAAACAATTGATATTAACTTTATTAACATTTTTCATAGTTTTATGTCAATTAAGATTGTGCTGACAAATTTTTCAGCAAAAAAAATATTAGTCGAGCTGTCGAAAACCGAATATAAACTGTCTTAATATATGGATATTAAATGTACTAAAATCACCTAAATAGCAATAAATAGAATGAAATAGACTTAAAAAATTTTGAGAACAAATTTCACGAATTTAATAACAGTTTAATGAGAAACAGTAGATTTTTCTGATAATTTTACTATAACAACTGTTAATAATCGTCTCTTAATTAATTAAGAATTGGCTTTTTTTTCTTCTTCAAATTATCTTTTATCAATGGAATAATCATTCCAATGTGCTACAATGTTATAAGTATTTTAGATAATATTATTCTTAATGTCATATGTATTCGTAAAAGTCGTATGGTCTTTTTCAAATATCTCAAGTTTGCTATTTGTTTTTTTTTCTTTATAAAACGATTCGAACATCAGAAATTTATAACAATCAACAGATAATTCATAAATAATCAATTTTATAGTACCATAGATCCTTTCGACATTTTATTTTTCACAAATAACAACGAGAATCAACATCACTATATTAGTACAAAGTTCAGAACATATTCTGTGCAACAAATTCCCACTCTTAACAGCTTACAATGTAAATTTTCAAGATGACCTTAAAGGGTTGAAAACGTTCTTTCAAGAAGTATATTCTAGAAATCTATTTCTTCTTTTTTTATACCATATAATTATCACGTTGTTTGCTTTCGACCATATTTGTCTATCTTTTACAAGATAGAAGATTACCACTTTATTTCTCTATATGCAATATTTACCTGATATATCTTTGTTAGACTAAGATTTTTTTTCTATGTTTGTTAATAATAGATCTTATGTTTTTGTAGAGATGTATCAGTCATCTCATACTTATAGTTATGTAAAAAAAATTATCTTGATAAAAATGGTGCTTCTATTTTTCTGCCCTTGTACTGCTTTGAAACCTATTTCTCTCTCCCTTTAACAAAGAAGAGAGAGAGAGAGAGAGAGTTATCGCCTCTATCTACTACTGAAAAAGTGACAAATAAAAGAGATAAGATACTTTCTTTTTTTAGAGCATATGTAAACTATTCAAAATGAAGATAGATGTATAGAGAGTTAAAAGTAAAAATCTAAGTGCATGTTATTTTCTGTTTTAGAACTATATAATTTTGTATGCGAGATTTTGTTTAATAAACAAGGTTCATGGACCGTTTTGTGTTCTTGCTCCTTATTCTATACCTTATTGGTATTGCGGGTAAGTTTAATCAGAAAAAAGAAATGATTTTCTCAAAAATCTATTATTGAATTTTATTTTTGTTTATTACAGCTCAAACAAATATTCCCAATGAAGGTCAGTAATATAATATTATTTTTTTTTTAGAAAATACAAAAATAATTTTCTTATATAGATCCAGGTTGGAGAAATGACCCAAGTAATAAACAGAATTTAGAATGGCATGAATCCCCCTCTACAACAACGAGTAATTATTTTAAATATCATTCGATTATTATGATTTA